TATATGCGTGCACTGCATATTTATCTGTAAAAATGTAGTATTGCTTTTCACGGTTGTATATTTTACATAAATGATATATTTTTCATATTCTACAACCTGCTTTTTACTCAACATTACATTTTCAAGACTTATCCTTATTAATACATACACATCTAGGCCGTTGAATTTTTGGAGAGTACTCCATTGCATGACTAGACCACACTGATTGTCTAGTTTCTTAGAAGAACAGTGTCTACTCTTCAGTGTTTTTCCACCTCCCCTCCCCCCTCCTCTTCAGCCCTGTCTGGTTTGTCTTCCACCCTCATCGCACCACTGGAACTGCCCTGGTCAGGTGTCCAGTCACCATAGTGTTGCTAAGCCCCATGGGTGTTTTCACCCAAGTAAGATCTCATGACATTGACCTCTCTGCAACATTTTTCTCTGGATTACTTCTTCCTCCGGAGACCCTCTTCCTTCCTCCTCCCTTTCTGAGCTCTCAACTGCCATGTCCTTCATGGGCTATCAGTGGTTCTCAATGAGGGTGGGGCAGCTTTGTTCCATAGGGGTCACGTGACAATGTCCAGAGACATTTTTGGTTGTCACATGGTGAGGGCTACTGGCCTCTGGTGGGTAGAGGCCAAGGATGCTGCTCAACATCCTATAAGGAATAATCCCACACTGCAAAGCATTATCCAACACAAAATGCTAATGGCGCCGCGGTGGAGAGGCCCTGGTGTAGATGCTCGTTTTCTGTGAGGTTCTGGTCTGAGCACCTCAACTGCTCATTGGGCCTGTGGACAGAGCTGGACAGGCTAATGCGCTTCCTAGGATTCCTGACTGACAGCCTTCCCTGGAGGCTGGACTCACCCGGACGCTGGGCCGCTCTGGAGGGACCTCCGACACCATGTTGTGGTTGGAAATGTCACTGTTGGTGGTAGCCGGGCGTTTCCCACCTGCTTTATTGGACATGTCCAAGGCCGATCTGATTTCACGTTGACCCGAAGAGAAGAAAGAGGCTATTCAGAACCAAGAAACAATGGAAACCTCCATCCCTGTCCCACCCTGCCACCCCCTGTTCCAACATCAGCACAAAATCAGATCCCTAAGTGCTATCAAGAGGTCATCTCAGCTGCTCCCTCAGCTCTCCTGAGACTATCTGCCAGTAATCCCGGGTGTCTGCTCTTCCTTTCCTGTGAACTTACTGAAAAAACCTCAACCCTAGGACTCTGGAATTCCTTTCCCTTTTCATTTAAAAGACACAATAGCCCAGCGCACTGTGAGAGTCATTTAATTATCGTTCTTCTTTCCCTCACTGAGCCAAGATGCAGAGCGAGTGGAATTAGCATTTGGCTCCCGTGGTTGTATCTGATTCCCTCACAACTCCCCTCCGAGGCCCTGGGTGATGTGCCCACTCAGGCCTGTCTCGCTCCTCTAGCTCAGCCTGTGAGAGGCACCAACCTGGGACCTGCTCCATTTTGGGAAAAGTGGACCAGGGTGTCAAGCCAGAGGGTCTCAGCAGCGTCCATCCTCCGAACTGAGGGGCGTGGCCCTAAATCCCTTTGCTCTCCTTTCCCCCCCCCCCCCCGCCCCCTGCTCCTTCCCAGCTGCGAAGTGTGGAGGGAGGTGGCCCACGATGGAGAGAACAGGCAGGGAGTGGGGCAAACCTACGTTTTCAAGTCAAATTTTTTGTTTTCTTCCGGGACCTGGCCAGTCACTGGGTGTAGAAATGTGTTCCGTCTTTCATTGTGGCTGTGGAGGCAAAAGAGAGAAATCGTGGTCAAGACGAAGAATGCAGAGACACCGCAAAGGGTGGAGAGTCCCTGGGCAGGGAGAGGGATGGCGACCACGTGGGAGCTCGTCCCCCTGTCCTCCAGTGGGATCCTGAGGCGGGTGAGATGGAAGCAAACAGAAGGCCGGGCTGTGGAGAGAGCAGCGCAGTCAGGTTGGGGGAGACACCTTTCACTGGTCAGTGTTCACTTACTGGAGACCCCTGAGGCTGGAAATGAGCCCCATGTAACCTGTGGTCGTCCTGGGCAGGTGTGGGGTGGGCAGGGGACTCCAACAGCCAAGATTTCACGTGTGGTATGTCCCCTCCCAGGGACAAGGCCTGCCAGTGCTCCACATAAAAACTGCTCACTCATTTCTGCTGAGAGAATCCTCCCATGACCTTGGACTCCTTCCCCTGCTGCTCTGTGTTCTATCTCTTAGGAGAAATGAGAGACACAGAAACTCCATTCCTGAGCTTGGGCTGGGACCCCCCCCCCCCCCCCGCCCCCCGCACCACACACACACACTCAGCCCAGGGTCTCCCAGGCTAAGCGTTACTGGGTATCGCTGAGACCTCAGGCGTGTCCCACAGTCGGGTTAAGTGCTGGCTCAGCAGTCAGATCTAATGGAGGGATGTGTGGCCCAGAAGTGGGGTGCTGTGAGGACAGCCTGCAGGAAGCAGGGGGCATGGGCCAGGGCGGGGTCAGTGCAGAGGCAGATGGGGAGCAATATTGTGGAGGCTCCTTTGGCAAGTCCTGCGGTGCCTCCCAGCTGACTGAACGTCAGGCCAGTCAGTTCCCTGGTGGCTCTTAGGGGAGATGGGGGGGGGGAGATGAATGTGGAGGGAGCTGGTACAGAGGGTCTGAGCCCCAGATGGCAGCCATTTGAGATGGATTCACCACCCAGGGGACCACCTGGCAAGAAAGTTGTAAGAGACGCAAGCATGCAGCCAGTGAGGGCTGGGAGGGTGCTGAGTCCTCCTCACCCAGCCCTGGGGAGACACAACCGGGACAGAGCCTGCTGAGGTTGTACCGAGGCTGTGGGTCCTCACACCGGCCACACCAGCACCCCCACAGCGGAGGGCCAGCTGGTCAGCTAGTGCCGCGGGAAAGAGACTGGAGCCTGGCCCCTTCAGCTGCACGAGAGAAGAAAAAGAACCTTGTGGAGACCCTTTCAATAGCCCCGGGACACATCCCAGCCCCTGGGCTGCCTGTTGAAGCCAAAGATAATATCAAAGGATATTTTTCTGGCTTCCAAACCAGCCATGTTGAGATCAAATTCAAAGCCATGTAGTGGATGGAAGCACAGCGGGGCGGTGATGGCCTAGGGCAGTGGTTCTCAACCTTCTGGCCCTTTAAATACAGTTCCTCATGCTGTGACCCAACCATAAAATTATTTTCGTGGCTACTTCATAACTGTAATGTTGCTATTATTATGAATCATAATGTAAATATCTGATATGCAGGATGGTCTTAGGCGACCCCTGTGAAAGGGTCGTTCGACCGCCAAAGGGGTCGCGACCCACAGGTTGAGAACCGCTGGCCTAGGGGGAAAGCTGGGTTTTGCGGCCTGGGCTTGCTGGCCAGGACCCTGTCCGGCCAGCGTCCACCTGGCCCGGGTTCTAACACAAGTATATTGATCACCTGCTCCCGCTTCTCAAACTCTCTTCCTTCCTCCCTGCCAGGTGCAACCAGGACGCTCTCCTCAACTTACCCACAGGGGACCTTCGCAAGGATGGGCGGCTGTTTTCAGGCACCCTCATCCCTGGCTCTGCCCCCCAGGGCCCAGGGGGTGGGCAGTCTGACAACGAAGGTCCTTCAGGTGCCAAGGACTCTGCTTTTCCCATGTGACACCGGGCACCTGTCCCCGCCCCAGTCCCCTGTGCTTTACACACTCCTGTGCTAACTCTGCTGACACCTTCCCTGCAGGCACCAGTACACATACACATACACATACATACACACTCACACACACACGCACACACGCAGTCTGCTGTCAGCTGGCACTGTTTTCAGGGCACCGCGAATTCCTCCCTGCCCCAGACGCTCTACCCAGCAACCCCTACAAATGACGTCCTCTCTCCAGCCCGGCACCGCCAGTTCCAGCACAGCTTCCCCTTGACAAGCACTGCAATGCAGCAGCCACGGACCTAACGGTCTCCCGCCTCCAGGGCGGGTCGGCAGACCCCCCACTCTGAAACCCGGGGCCTAGGAGCCGCCAACTCCGCCTGCTCTCACTGCGCTCGGCTTATGTCCGCTGAAGAAATCCCTACCTGACCCGGCGATCGGCCCGAAACTTCAACATCGTTTTGGCAGCTCTGTCCCCGTTCGGCAGCCTCGGAGGACCTCCCAGCCACCCTGCTCCTACCATCCTCTGAGCAGTAAGTCCTTCGGTCCCTGGCCGAGCTCCAGACGCTGCTGGTCCCCCCTCCCTCCCGGCTCTAGCACGAGGGAAGGGGGCGGGCTCTCCCCAGGTGGTGGGAAGGGTGCCCAGGTGCTCTACGGGGCCGGTGGCTCCCCAGCATCCAGCCCATCAGAGAGCTCCCGGCAGAGTAAAGCGAGCGGGGCGGCCCCTCCCAGTCCAAGTCCCCCAGGAGGACATGCTGAGACGGAGATAGGCGTATGGAGCAGGTGTACACCTTCCAGGTCGTCCGACCTCACTGAGCTAAGGACACAGAGCAGCTGGGCAGGCGGAGGAGTCTGGGGCTGGCATGCCGGTCTGCACAGCAGAAGCTCAGCCAGCCGACCTGGGGGAAGACAGTCAGTCTTCCCTGCCTGTGACTCCCAGCCCAGACGCTCCGATGCTGTGGGCTCAGGGGTTAAAGGAAGCTCCGGATTCGTGGGCTATTGCTGCCCGGACGCTGAGGTGGATCCGTCTCCTCTCTCCTCGCCCAGCCTGCCCAGCCTTCTTCTGTCTGGACAGGAGCAGAATGAGCAAAGCTTTGCCAAGTCCCCCGCGCGCGCCCTTTGGACACAGCGCCAGCGCACTTGCTCTCGGCTTGGGGTGGTCCAGCAGAGAAGCACGTGGAGCTAGGGAGCCAGAGCCGGTGGCAAGAACCAGCTTCTTTGCTCAGGAGAAACGGAAGGAAAGCTTCTTTCCAAAGCTCGTGAGGAAGAGGGCGGCGAAGGAGCTCAGGGGGTCACTGTGTGTTCATTTCTGAAAATCTTCCAGATGCGATATGATGAACTCCAGCTGGCACCGTCAGATCTGCTCAAGGGCAAGGGGAGCTGCGTTGTTGTTCACTCCCCTGAACTCTCCACACCGCAGATGGTCACGTTTCCCCTGCTCGGGGCATCCTCCAGGGCTTAGGGCCCTCGGGCTGCAAGGGCCGCTGAAGGTCATCTCCTCCATCCCCCGCCTCCAGGCACGCCCGCTGGCTCTTCAGTCAGTCTCCTTAAGTGCCTTGCTTGTTCGTAAAGCGTTCTCACAAAGAAGGCTCCAGACCCACTGTTGTCTTATACCGCCGAGATGTCCCTTCTGATACCAATTTCCAGTTCCTCTGGCTTTCCAGATCATTCCATTTTTGTCTTTGGGTGATAGAATCCTTTCTGACCAACATAGTTCCTTTTAGCAGCACCAGGCATTCTGTTGACATCATAGTCCGTTGTTATGGCAATTCTGTGATGTCACAACAGACACTGAAAGGGAGGGGCTAATCTAATTTTTGGACTGAGGGTAGAACTCAGTCAGAGGACAATGCAATCAGCGACCAGAAAAGCAAATGGACAACATTATTATTTAACCCATGATGGAACGAGCTGGTCGGATATAGCTGGGGCCTCAGCTGCTGATATTTAAGCAACGAATCCTAAATTCCAAAGGCCAATATACTCAGACATTAAGCGGTACGTTTGCAAATGCTTTGTCCTAATGACAAGAGGCTTTGGTTTCCAGATGCCACACCCTCCCACCAGCTACCTGCGCCCTGCTATGGGCAGGAAGAACAGGACCCTCTCCTGGTGCGCTCCTGAGGCGTCTGCCCATGCATAGAGGAACTCAGCATCTGCTGAATGAATGAGCCAGTGAATGAACAAAAGAAACTCGCCATGCTCTCATTTAATTTTTATCCACCTGCATTTGGAGTTTGACATTCTATCACCAAGGGCTTCCCTATCTCTGCTCTCTCTTAAAATTAATTACTTCCTCTCCACAAGAGAAGCTGTTTCTGCCCCCTCATTCCTCACTCAGCTCCCCTGCCTGGCTCCCCCTTGAATATCCAGCTTGGCTTGGATCCATCTTCATTAGGAGGGGAAGAAAATTAAGCTCATCGGCACAGGAGGAGGGGGCGGGGGTGCATTGGGAAAATGAGTTTTCTTCCTCTAGCAGCAAAAATACCCCCTTTTTCTTTCCGGCTGAGCTCAGGGGCCTCCCACAGCCTTTGCTTAAGTTGCAGGTTGAATTACTTCTCCCAGTGAGGACAGCACAGGGAATAGGAAGGAAGGCTCAAGGGTTTGCCCGGCTCTGAGATCCTTGGTTACATCAGCACGCGGCACCCACAATGTCTAGCCGGGGTTCTTTTCCTTCGCCACTAAATCGCACATACGGCAGGTTCCCATTGCAGGTTAGTCAGCAGGTGCAGGACACGAAAGGAGGAAGCAGAGAGGTAACCATGTCACTCTCCTCTGCCCTTTCTTCTGGGAGAGCAAAGGGCCTCCATTTCTCAAGGACAAGTGGTTATCCATCTCCAAATGGACCTCCCAAATGCCACCAGGGAAAGGCAGTAAAGTAGATTTGGGGGTGGAGGCAGGAGCACCCCTAAACTCCTGGGCTGCTCCCTAGGTGTTCACCTTGGCCGTTGTACCTATGAAGGCGGCCCCCATGGCAGTGCCATCAGTGGAAAGACAATTGGCTAAACCAGGCTTCTGGTCCAAGATCCAACGTGAATGAGCACTTTGATTTGACCTCTCACGTGAAAATGAGACACCTTCTAATCCTATAAAACAATAGCTGTAAACTTCCAAAATGCGAAATGATTTATGCAT